TTTCTTTCTTTCTTTCTTTCTTTCTTTCTTTCTTTCTTTCTTTCTTCCTTCCTTCCTTCCTTCCTTCCTTCCTTCCTTCCTTCCTTCCTTCCTATCTTCCTTCCTTCCTCCCTTCCATCCTATTGCACTACTTGGACATCAACTCAAAGTCCCACCCTTGCTCAACTTTCTGGCTTGGCTGGCACTTGAGCCATGCCTCCAACCTGGCATTTTGCTGACTATTTTGGAGATAGAGTCTCTTGGACTTTTCTGCCTGAGCTGACCTCAAACCCTAGTCCTCCAGATCTCAGCCTCCTGAGTAGCTAGGGTTACAGACTTGAGCCATTAGCTCCAGGCTTACATTGCTTTCTTTTTCTTGCCATATGACAGGAAAAAAACATACAAGTGATGCACTAGAATATTGTGCTGCCATCTAGTTTGCACAAGCCAGACAGAATAGTACAACATGAACAGCAGGTGCTCAGAGCTGGGACTTTGGAATAACTCAATGTCTAACCAATGCTGTTTCCAACATATATACAATGTTACAGTTCTCTGCAGCCTACTGTATGCCAATAGGAGAGTTTGGAACTGAATGGACTCTTACAGCTACAGCAGAGTAGTTCACAGGTCGAAAAGCAGGGGAGAAAGAAAGAAAGAAAGAAAGAAAGAAAGAGAGAGAGAGGAAGAAAGGAAGAAAGGAAGAGCTTACATCCATGAGAATCTCAGGTCAACACAGGCTGAGATGCTGTACACATGCTTCAGGGACAGTGGAATGCTGGGGGAATAAATAAATGCTTGGCTCTACTTCCTCCTCAGAAATGTTGCTATTTTGCACAGGGGGTTGTTTTGGTTTGGTTTTCCTTTACAAGCCACATGACAAGTAATAGAATGGCATCTTTATCTTGGTAATTGGGAGGATTTGTGGTAGTTTGTTGTTGTTGGTAGTGATGCATGTGCTCAGTAGCCAAGACATTGGTCTCTTTTAGAGAAAAAGGCTGAGAAGAGTTAGAGATGTGGTCCCAGGCCATGTCTCAACATGGAGCTAGAGCCCTGCCGCCCAATCAGAACTATTCATGTTTACTTCCATGTACATGGCTATGAGCTCTGTGGATATCATTAATAGTACACAACAGGAGTGACGGCCCTGGAGTTGGACAGTGAGGGCCTGGGCAGGACTGAGTCAGGCTGATGCAATTGCCTTATGGGTCATGCACACTGACAAAGTTAATGGGGCCACCAGAAACAGCCCCTTTGAATAGTATGTGTGAAGAAGGAAGGCCTTCATCTCAAAAGCTAGATAGTACTTCAGATGAGAGAAGAAAGCCAAGAGGAAACTGAATAGGCCAGCTGTACTACTATGGCAGCAGTAAGATGTTTCCAGCCCTCCCACAAGGAAAAGTACTTTCTTCAACCAAACTTACATTATTACATTTCTCATTACTTTCTTAAAAAAACAAACTAAAAACTAGAGGTTGTGGGTCCATATTTTTTTTTTAACCTAAGCTCTTCAGAAGTTTAAGTCTTCTAGAGTTTTTAAGTCTAGCCCTCTTCAGGAGTGAAGTAAATATGACAAAGATGCACAGTCCAAGACAGGCTGACACAATCAAGAACTCTATCTATGGCAGCTTGTGCTTGCAATGACGTGGCTCAAAGGAATCATTAGTTCTCACAGAAGGTGTGCCTAAGCAAGGTCCTGTAATTAGTTATCTTTCTATCAAATAGCCCTGAGTGAAGAAGCATGAAAAGAATTCCCTAGCCTACCTCCTGGTTTCTGTTCAGCTCTAGCTCAGATTCCTAGCTGGGATTTGAAGAGCTCTTAGGAGTTTCCACATCAATGTCCAAACATGAGTACTCATTTCTTTAAGTCAGTACTATCTACCACGTGTACACATTTTTGCCAGGAGACTGGGACATGTGCATAATCTTTGATAGAAAGTAGGAGAGGCTGTTAACATCTTGGACATGGTGACCAATGTCCGTGATGCAAAGCACTGAGAAGACAGATAAAAATCAAAGTTTGAGGCCAGCGCAAGTAAAAATTTCTCAAGAACTTATCTCAACAGATAAGCTGAACTTGACGGCTCAGCTCTGTCATCCCAGCTACCTAGGAGACATAGAAAGAAAGACTGCAGTCCCAGGCTGGCCTTGAGGAAAAAATAAGACCCTAGCTGAAAACTAAAGCAAAATGGGTTAGGGGTGTGGTTCAAGTGGTAGAGTGCCTGGCTAGCAATCATGAAGTCCTAGGTTCAAAAACTAGTACTATCGAAACAAAAGAACAACAACAACAAAATCTTAAACGTGGAGGCTTATCCAGGGACATTTCAACGGGGCCCAGATAGGTCTGGAAATCATCCATAACTGGATAGGAAGGGATAACCCAGTACCCACGTTTGACCTGGGCATACCTTCCAATGCTCATAAAGCTTTTTAGAAACTGGTCAGATCTTTTTGAGATGCTACTTTGAACTTAGACCACTTTTCAGCATAGAGAAAAAAGAAGGGATGAGAACTGATGTTTTTAATACCACTATCGGTGGGCCTAAAGATTTTGTTTCCTTTCACCCATTTCTTTTCTTTCTCACCCACCCAATGACATAGATGTTACTCTTCCCATCTTACAGGAGAAGGCACTAACTGTCTGAAAGTTAAATACTGTGCCTTGGATCTCACAAGGTAGTGGGTTTGGGGTGGGGGACAGCACTCAGCTCTTTCCAGAAGGGCCTAGTCCCTAGTCTTCTGGGCGTTGCTTGCCTGTGAAGCCATCAGTCCTCCTACGAAGTCTGTCTGCAGCAGTCAGACAGTGAGGGAAAATGGAGAGACACCTGTTTGGAATTGGCTTCTTTGGGAATATCCAGGGCCTGGGCTTTTGTAGAGCTGGGGTGAACTGGGGTCTCTAGAGACTGCTCAATACCTAATGTAACCAGCAGCAGCCGCCCCTTATACTGTCTGTCCTCTGCCCACCCCTGCTCCACACACAGGGACTCAACACTTAGCACCTTAGCCTGTGCTACTGTCCTATCTGACAAAAAAAAGAGAGCTGTTTGTGATGCATGACTGGGGGCCCATCCTCCCAGGAAACTCTGTTTTCAGGACTTTCATGGCTCAGTAAGCAGGAAAAGATGCCTGCTAAAGCCACACTAAGCTGTAAGTGGCTCCTGGGTGGTAAGGAAGGTGCTAGCGAGGCAGCCAG